TGCACTTTCAGGGCCTGTAACTGGGATATTTTCATAATATGAAAGCAAAACTCTGCATGGCTTCATTAGATGTTCTACAGCTATTGTACAAAACAAAGCAGATTTGGAGGGGCTCAGGTGGGAGGCCCTGACTGATTTCCATGAAATGAGTCATATTTCTTTTTGATTTTTAAAATAATACCCATTTCACAGGATAAACTGTCCACTCAGCTGGGATACTTCACTCAGTTCACTTTCTTTGAAGTGCTGTCTGTTCCACAGTGAGTGCGTTAGCAGTAATAGATGTCTTTAGGCAACTTCCCCCCCAAGCAGACAGAAAATTGAGCGATTTAGAAAGTGAAGCCATGTGCTGCTATGAACAGCAGCAAAACAGATTTTAGCCACCTGAGAAATACTGGTTTAAGTGCCTGCTAGAGTCAGAGCATTTTCAACACTTTGCCATCAGACAGGAAGAAGGCAAAGCCATGCGCTCCACTAGCTCCACTTCAAGCTTTTCATTTACTGTCCCCTTGATTGGTTAGTTCATCTATGATGCTGCTCCTTAACGAGTTATTCGCAGAAATCAACAAACTTGGTCGACTGCTGCATTTGTTCTACTTCAAAAAAAGTGTGGTTCTAATACTGGTTCCAAGCCACGTTGCGTTACAGAGCAGAGAAGGATAGCTCTGAAGCTTTGACCTTTCTGTTTGTGGAAAAGAGAAAAATTTGCTTAAGAGACTCAGTCGTTTTGTATCTACTTATTTCCTTGCTTCCTTTCTGTCACTGGCTCCTTTCTCTTTTGGCGTGCAAGATAAAACAACAAATTAAATGCAAAATATATGATTAAGTACACTGACTTAAACAAAATCTTTGTTTGAGGCTGTTTACACAGCTTGCAAGATAAACTGAGGTCATCACAAATATTTGAAGTATTTAAATGGTGTCATCATTAAATTAGATTAGGTGATTATATTAAATCCCGGTGATCCTCGTGGGGAAAATGAGCTGTGGCAGCAGAGGAGTGCTGAGTTTAAAAATGAGAACAGATCAGATGGAGAATACTGAGGAAAATTACAACAAAGGAGCAACAAATGGGAAGGATGCAACTGATGAATAAAGATAAATTACAGTTCTGGGGGAAGACCAAGGCAGAAAACAGAAAACTACTTTTCTCATTTCTCTGAGCCGTTGCCTAAAAAACCCAGAACGTGCTTCATTTTCATGTCTTTCAAACAACTGTTGGAATTATTTACCGTGCATGTTGCAGAGCACATGACATCTACCACAGAGGCCAATGAAAGATTAATGCTGAGTAGCCACTGCAGTGATGTCGTGTATGTGAGCTTTTCTTATTTTACAAAAGGGAGAAGGACGGGAACAACTTTACACCCCTTGGTTACAATCCCGCTGGAGAATACTTCAGTCAACACTAATATAACCAAAGTATAAATATATTGTATACACTTCTGTAAAGCATCTTGGTTGCCTAGTTGTGCAGTTGCTATTTTTCAACTGATTCTTCACATTAATGTAGTGCTTCCATCAACTGATCCTTTTTGCTTTTAGCCAGAAACTCATTCTGGACGATACAAATTGGTGTAAGCAGAACTCACAGCAGATGTTGTTGTAACCACAAACTGTACATAAAAGATGGACGTAGCAACCGTGCTCTCACTCAGTCGTTTCTGAACTCTAGTTTTTTGTTTTTATATTCAGTTAATGTGTTTTAGCTACAGTTTTCAGTTTGTAGGTTTTCCTTTCAGACACAGTTTATATTCATTTTTAATCCGTGTCTCTGTGTTTGATAAGATACAGGAACCAAAGCAAGTGGGTTTAGGCACAGAAACTGCTTTGTTGAGGTTCACATGTGCATATTGTGGTTTGGGGTTAAATGCACATATTAAAAACATGGTATGGATCCGTTCTGGCTGGACTCCAAATGTAAGTAGTTATCGTGAATTTCTGTGTATGTAGATGTCAACGCTTGCAGCTGATAGCAACAGATCCCACATTTATCACTGACTGATAGCATGTGATTGCAAACTTGACCTCATTGAATTGCACACTGATAGCAGAGTTACTGTCTAATTGCTGTATGGCTGTCAGTTGCCTTATGTTAAGCAGAGCTTCTATACTACTTACTATCAACTTACTACATTATGTTTTCTATATTGCCTTTTCTTAACTATTCATTAACTATTAGACACAGCCAGTTAAAATAACATTGGCTCATTTTTCATTGAACTTATTGTCTTTTAACTGAGACACCAATGTTTCATACCCAGTTATCAGATAACTCCAACTTCAGCTCCAAGGCAAATGTAAAACAAACCAACCACCAACAGGCATTACCTCCAAAAACAATGAAACTTTAAAGGATGCAGATAAATTAAACAACAACTGAGTATTTCTCCTTCTCCCACGTCGCACAGCAGTTTCTACTAGATGTTCATATTAAACTCTCTCTCTGAGACCACTTCCTAAAATTCCCCTATCTTTCAAGAAATTATGCAGGCTCCTAAAACACTAATGGTTGCATAACAGGATGTCAAGACTCCACTCTCCCTCTCTCCAGACCCCGAGGCCAGTGAGCACAAAACCTGCCTTGGGTCTTCTTCCCCATCTCTGTCTTTGGGGCTCACTTGTGCAGAACAATAGCAGAGCAGCTAGTTAAGGTGAGGGAGAGCAAAAAAATAAAAAAAAATCCAACACCACTCCTTTGTCCTCCGTCTGTTCCCATCTCAGAGGGATTTTCTTAAACATTTTTTTTCAACACTCTCTTTCCCTGTGGTTATTTCCCTTAGTGAAAATGGGTCACCTTTCTTTTTGTCAGGAGAATGCTTGGGTAAGTATAACCTCTGCATCTGTGTGTTTGGAGGTGTGTGTGTGTGTGTGTGTATTCAAGGTTTTATATGATCGAGAAATGGTTCCAAGCCCTGGAAAAGTCATGCAAGGACCATTTTCTGGGTCTCATTAGGGGGGAAGGTATATTTCTTCAGGGACTTCCAGTGTAGCATGAAGATATCCAGTCTTTTATTTTTTTTGGTCCATTTGCTGGTTATTGTTTATCAAACAGGTTAATTCAGGTAAATTCTAAAAATAATAATAAAACAAAATTAATAAAGAAATAATGAAGTCAATTATCAGATAAACTGATTCATTTAGACAAACCCCTCATGTGTCCCCCACACTGCTAGCAACCAAAGTCTGTTTGACAACTGACTACAAGTGATCAAACCACCTGATTATAAGTAGTCTGTAAACAAATGTTATTACAGTTACTTATAATTATAAGTAACTTACAGTTACTTATAATTGCATCTTTCAGCTGGTCTCTATTATTATGAATAATGATATTAATGTAGCATTAGCTTGCAAAGTCACCTAGCAAAACAGCTAGCTTGGTTTAGCTCTAAGTAAATGCTAATGTGCCAGTTCCTCTGACACTTGAGGTAGCCTCCAAAGCGTTCAATTTCCATATTAAAATGTCCAAATTCAGCCAACGATATAATATGTTTGTAGTTGTTTTTGTTTTAATATTAAAGTGCTAAACCTAAAATAAACTAAGTTAAAGTAAGTGAACTGGACCTCTTCACCATATTTGTGGTGTTTGACAAGAGATATCTGGCAATGAATATCACCTGCTGCATGTTACAGCTCATCCAATAATTTTGTGGTCCTATTTTTTTTTCTTCTAGTATTTATTGAGCTGTTACTAATTAGCAGGCATCCATCTGCGCATTGCACCCATACTGTCTGTGGACATGGCTCACTTACCAAGTTTGCTTGTGGTTGTGGACAAGTTCTCATCCACATATTGTCACTCCTGACACCAAAAAGACAACATGCTAATGTTGAAGCTTCAAAATGAGTCCAGCGATCAATAGATAGTATCAATGAGGCTACATTCAACTTATCTATACATGCAAACATGAGGTAACAAACCTATTAACTAACTTTACTTAATATTATGTAATTTCTAGGCCAGGATGACTGTAAAGTAAGAACTGTCTTATGCTCAGTGCAGCTTGTGTTTGACAAAGTGAGAAGCTGCTAGAATTAAGGACAAACTGCTGTTCACATACTGTATGTGTGGCAGCACAGGGGGATGATTTATGTGTGTGCGCTCTTTCCAGGCTTGTTTTTGCATTGTTGCTCCTGACAGAAACCCTTTACCTCCCCTCCTCATTTCTGGCAGTATGTGCGCAGGCAGCGTTGGATGGACTTTGAAGTGAGCGCACCGATGCACTTCAAACAAGATCTCACACACTTTGCCATTTGCCAAGAGGACGAAAAAACAGCTGGAAAAAAAAAGAAAAGCTTTTCTCTGCATCCTGATAGAGTGCACTCGGATCACTTGTTATTCCAAATCTGTGGCTCTGCTGCTTCTGTCTTCACATCAATACGAAACCTCAGCGGGAGCGTCGTTTGTGCTTTTTCAAAAAATGGTGGCATACAAGTGCTGTTGTGACCGAGAGCAGGAAACTGTTTAATGTACAGATCTTTACAAGCGCTGCGCAGATTCAGACGTCTCCACCTCTGCCTCACTGACTGTGAGCAAAGCTGGTTATTTAGAAAAGTTGTGTGTATGGAGGGAGATTCATGTTTCACTGAAGTAATACACTGCTATCAGTCCACTATAATGGAAACTGGCACATAGATCAGCAGAACTGTGTTAATTATGCCTTAAAGAGTAGTCACCACATTCACATCTGGCAATCTGCAGACGCTAAAGAAAATATGTATTCCCCAAGTAGTTGGCAAGTGGTTGCTGGAAGACCAATTTTACCCGGTGACTGCCAGCGACCACTTGCAAATGGAGATTTTTCCCTAAAGCAGTCTCCAACCACTCTGTACTCCTGTGTGACTGAGGCCTAAGCTATCACATGTCACTCAGCAATTTAAGAAAAGCGATTGCAATTACAGATGACCTTGATAAGCCTGTAAACTTTGGGCATATATCTGTATTAGCTCTATCGGAGCAAACAAACATGGAATGACAGTGTGTTTGCTATTCATACCGAAGTGTAGAGGTAGCCCTCGCTGTTCATGGCAACGTAGAGCCCTGTCTTGGTGCTCTGGATGGCCACTATCCTGAGCCCCACAGGAATCAAGTTGAACTGCACTGCAAGACACAGAGAGGGAGGAGTGATGTTAGAGCAATCATTCTGTCTCTTAAACGTTCACAGTGCTTTCTCGTGGCATAAAAAGACAATTGCTTTCCAGCTGTCTCCTGTTTCACACTCCCTGTTGTACAGTTTATCTGTCAAAGGTGAGAAAAGCAAGTTTGTGAAAAAGGCAAAGAGAGAGGGCGGAAAGGATTTGGAGACAGAAATTTTGTGTTTACCTTTCTTGGGGTGAGAGTAAGAGTTCAATACGTTTAATGCTTGATATCGAGATACATTTGAGTGCCTTGTTTAGGACAGAGACCTGGCAAATTCCTTTGCTTTCTTTTATCTGTTCTTGAATACACCAGGTGTACATCAGAAAAACAGAACATTGCCCTACATGCCATAGGAATACTTTCATTTGCAATACACGAATCTATTATTGAACGTGGCAGTTACAATGAAGTAAATTCAGAAAAGAAAAAACATGCAGCTGTGAATTTTTTTTTTAATCAATGGGATTTCTGACAGTCATAATGATATTTTCACAGAGAACGTGTGCATGAACCCTGAACATTTTATTAGAAAAATCAGCATTAGCTCATTTTAATCAAAGCTCTGTAATCTTGCATCCCAAGGTGTGCCACACATTTTAAAGGCTGTATATAGCTTGAAAGTGAACCGGATTATTAAGTAATGCAGGTCATAGCTTAGGCTAAAAATGCGAGGAATGCAATCCCCCAAAAACTCATTAAGGGCATAAAGAATTTTCCATAGTTTGACATTTATAGTCTTTTAGTGAAGAGGTTAAGTGTGGTGGTGGTCGCCGGGCAGGCCTTTGGATTCTCCCTAAAATCTAGATTCATGCCACAGAGAGATAGAGACACAGCGAGAAGGAGAGAGAGAAGGTAGCTCAGCAGAGAGTTTTAAGAATAGCGTGCATTAGAAAGTGAATTCATTTTCTGCATCCCGACACACTAAACAGCACTTTGTAATGTAGTTTGCTGAATGTCCTCCTGTGAAACCTTGGATCTCCTACATGCATAGCTCTGCATAAGAGCTAACTTCAGCCTGGACACCAGAACAACAGTCACTGTTTCCTTCTCATTTTTGTTCCTGTAGATGCACAAGCTTTTCTGGTATGAATGTAGATCGTGTCTGAGTGTCTAAAAAAGTTTCTTATATGATGTGGCATGGTAAGCTGAACGGTACTGACAAAGCAGCCTGTGGCTGCCAGCTGCTCTGTGGTCACAGTGTCATGATGACCAAATGCTACTGAGATGATTAAAGCCCCTGAATCACATGGATTGAGCCAAAAAAAATACACATGAGTTTTGAAAGATCAAACAAAACAATATAACTATGAAAAACACTTAAGCTCATAAAATCTACCAGATAAGTGGTGACCCATCTAGGATTAGGAGAACGTTACACCCAAATGCTTCTGTAGATAAACTATATGAGACTTCATTCAAAATGTAGCAACTTCTACTTTCTAATATGTCTGATTTATCAGGTTTCTAAAATAAAACTAACCTTCTACAATAACCCTAACTCTGGATAGGTCAGTAGTGACCTGATGGCATTTTTATATATATATATATATATATATATATATATATATATATATATATATATATATATATATATATATATATATATATATATATATATATATATATGGGTGGTATGGCTTACAAGGAGTCTCTCTTCCTTGACAGTCTGAAGTCATGTCACAGTAATGTGTAATGTGTGTCTTGTTTGAGTGTGGATAGAAATGTCACGTCTGTGTTCACACTGCTGGACAACAATGTCTTTCAGTTATTGAAATTCAACAATGTTTTTTAGTCAACAATGTCAGATACGACTACTCTGCTTCATTTCTGAGTTTTGCTAGAAAAAGAAATTACGCCACAGTAAAAATGACATTTTAATAGAACAGCTAGTAATATTACCATCACCCACCGACAGGAAACCAAAGGTTTTGTTGGTATAATCTACCAAATGGATACAGGTTGTATACATATTAACATCTCCTGTCTGCATCAATTACTGCTCACTCAGTTAAAGCCCATTTGGCCGTAAGAGTGTTTAGGCTGGGATTACTGTCTGGAAGCAACAACTTCTGAAGGCTCCCTTTGAAATCTGTCAGAAATTATGCTAATTGTGAACTCTCTGTGTGTGTCTGTTTATGTGAGTGTCCTTGTGTCTTCTTTCCTTTTTCTGTTTCCATGTTCTCCTCCTTATGTTTAATTCCATGCCTCCCCTGCCTGTCATGTTTATCCCATGTTTCCGTCATATCATGCCTCTCCTCTCGCTCTCTCGTGCTGTCTCGAATCATTGCTCTCTCGCTCTCTCCCTCGCTCTCTCCCTATGTGTTGTCTCCGTTAACTGTTCCTGCGTCCCCTTCGTTATCTCCTCCCGTTGCCTCCTTAATCCATCTAGCTTCCCTGACTGTTCTTTCCTCTCAGCAAAAAATGTCATGTTGTGAGTTAGTCTACGTCTTAGTGTTTCCTGTTTTATTCTGACAGTCTTGCGTTCCATGTTCGGTGTGTTTAGTTTTGCTTCTGCTGTCTCGTTGTGTCTAATTTGCCTCATGCATGTGTTTCCTGTTCCCTCGTCATTCCTCTTGTATTTAAGCCCCCTGTTTCCGTCTGTCCAGTGTCGCTTTCTCCCTCATTCCCTGCTGTTGTTCTGCCTGCCTGCCTGCTTAGTTCATGTGTATCCCAGTTTTTGTTTGTTCTTTTGGAGTCCAGCGATAAAGCTGAATTTTGAGTCGAGTTCTGCCTGCCGCACACAACAAACACGACCTCAGACGTTGTATAAAGATTGGAGAAATAGTACAGAACATTTTAATAACTGGGTTTTAGAGACTGGACTCATGCACCTACCAGCGTATTGTGTCTCACTTTTCTAGTTCTTACGCTAAGGAGAGGTGCTCATATTTTGTGTTTTAGAGTATCAGCTTCTACTTGCTGTTGTCTTGTGAAGCATTCCACCATCACATAGTTACCAGCAACTACTCATTTCTTTACACAACGTCTGTTACAATCAAGTTGATTTTGACTTTGGCAAAATTCCCATACTGCCATTAGTCCTAAAGGCCAAAGCAGACAACACTGCTAAGCTTTTCGTTTAAACTCTGGTCGAGAATATAAAAACTGAAGCATAATTGGGATGCAGTATGTGTGAGTGATTTCGTCTTCTTTTGGCAAATTGCAAGAGTGCATTATAAAGTCAGAGCCCAGTTGTCAAAGTGACAGATTTCTTACACGGATGAAAAATGAAGTCTAAGGAGCATGTTTTAGATTCATGAAGCCATTAGCCACTAATAGACAAATCAATTTCAAATCAAAAGTTCTGCCAACATAATGGATGGAAGTTAAGTTATCAGATGGTGTCAGAAAGTCAATGCTGGCCGTGATTAAAAACTAACAACTTGTCAGTATTATTTCTGATGAAGATTAAGCTCTGACCTCTTAAGAGTTAAGATTTTCTTTCTAGTACGGCAACTTGGAAAACAAAACACATTCCTTCTTTTTCGAGCAGCATTTATGCTCTTTAACTTTTTGTTGAGGAAAACTTAAAAACTTAGATTATATTCCAACTTTCCACAGAACAGTCACTGTAACGTACAGTTTTTACCACCTGCACTGAATATAAAGACAGCCCACCCTACTCTTTCTCTCTCTCTCTCTCTCTCTTTCCTTTCTCCATCTTCAGCATGTTGCTTCTATTTGCTCAATCGATTCCTGCATTTCAAAGAGTTGGTTTCGCAAATGAACAAGGTGTCACCAATGAGCATGGCTGGGATGACAAATAGAGCTGGGCACATGCACACACATTGCCTCCCACCTTCTTGTCACCCTCCTACTCCTGCTTCTCACTTCCTAACAGTGCTAGGTGCACTGTTGTGGCGATAACTGCATGTTATCTATACACACAGGAAGAAAACCACCACAACACATGCAGGTGGACTACACTGTCCAAGATAATAAAGACAGAAATGAGCCGTAGTCCCTGCATGACAGTTTTACATTTTACAAACATAAAGATACAAAAACTTTATAGTTAGCATTTGTAGCTAGCACACAACCTACAGAAATAACTAGATGTTCTGTAAAAATACAGGATATTTTGAAGGGTTATAGCTGTGACAATATAAAAGTCATCAGTCTATGTCAACAGCTACAGCATAAGAGTTTTTGGCTAACATTAGCCTGTTTTGTTGGATTTGGAGATTAACGTCATGTAGCTAAGCAGCAAAAGTGTGATAGAAGTGTCAGTTCACATTGCTGACAATATTTTTTGTTCTACATGCAGAACAGGAACAAAGATGCTGTTAGCATGAAGCTTGTATCTTTCTCTAGCAAGATATCATGTGTATAATTATTAAGTGTTCTTTGAGTAACATTCATGATCTATGTTTTAATGGTAGTCAGGTGGGAAAAAATTTAAAAGACAAAAATATTTAGAATATTTTATAAGTGATAAAATCGATATATGAGATTGCAATTTCTGCTCACTCCCAGAATTATGAATCTAAAAAGTCAGACATTACTTCCTGTTACTTCAAAAGCTGCCTCTATGAAACACGAGATATTCTTTGGTAGCAGTCCAGCGGCTGGTTTGCACTTGCCTTGTTTTTGCTGATTCTTTTAATACTTTGACATCCTGGGAATAAGACAGGCTCAAAATTGATAGTAGCCATTAAAAATAATATTCTGCCCTCAACAAAATTACAAAGACATCTGTGTGTGCATGTCCCTGATATCATTATAAGCTGTATTTGGACAACACCAGTAGAAGGTCAAAACAATCAGGCTTTAGCTTTTGCTTCATTCCTTCTCTCACTCTCTTTTTTCCTGCTTTCACACTTCAGATTGTTTATTTCCTTCTTATCCTCCATCAAAAAGAGCTTTGCTAATCGCATGTATAACATAACTGTTTGCATGGATAGCGGAGGCATCCCATTTCATCCCTCTTCCTCTCCGTCGTTACATTTGAGTCGCTTCTA